TGCAGCCGTCATTGTTGTTTGGCGGGTCCGGGCTGGGGATTCGAACCCGCCACCTTAGGTGTACGTGGCTGGTGCCTTAGCCGGTTGAGCTATAGACGCCGAGCCTCTTTTTTCTTTTAATACAGGCATTTAGATGTTATTCTGTAAGGACTCCATTGGGAGTATCTGGTTTTTGTTTTTTTTTTTTTTGAGACAGAGTCTCACTTTGTCGCCCTCAGTAGAGTACTATGGCGTCATAGCTCACAGCAACCTCAAACTCATAGGCTCAAGCAATTCTCTTGCCTCAACCTTCCAAGTAGCTGGGACTACAGGCACTTACCACAACGCCTGGCTATTTTTAGAGTCAGGGTCTCGCTCTTTCTCAGGCTGGTCTTGAACCCATGAGGTTAGGCAATTCACCTGCCTTCAGCCTCCCAGAGTTCTAGGATTATAGGCATGAGCCACTGCACCCGGCAGGAGTATATTCTTTTTTAAATTTTTTTTTTTCTTTTGTGAGTATCTGTTTGTTTTTTGTTTGTTTGTTTGTTTTTAATATGGAACACTTCATGAATTTGCCTGACATCCTTGCACGGGGGCCATGCTAATTGTTTCTGTATTGTTCCAATTTTAGTGTATGTGCTGCTGAAGCAAGCAGGAGTATCTATTCTTTTTTTTTTTTTAATACAGAGTCTCACTTTTGTCACCCTAGGTAGAGTGCCATGGCATCATAGCTCATAGCAACCTACAGCTTTTGGGTTCAAGCCATTCTCTTTCCTCAGCCTCCCAAGTAGCTGGGACTACAGGCACTGCTACAATGCCTGGCCATTTTTAGACATGGGGTCTCGCTCCAGCTCAGGCTGGTTTCAAACCTGTGAACTCAGGTGGTCCACCCACCTCAGCCTCCCATGTAGCTAGGACTACAGGTGTATGCCACTATCCTTGGCTGATTTTTATATTTTTTGTAGAAATGGGGGTCTCACTCTGACTCACGCTGGTCTTGAACTCAAGCTCAGGCAGTCTAACCGCCTCGGCCTCCCAGAGTGCTGGGATTACAGGTGTGAGCCACCACGCTTGGCCTTAGGTTTTGTATGTATTTTTTGTGTTATTGCAGCCACATAAGCTCCATATTATATTGTAAGTTTATTAATCCCTCCCATTTTCTTACTTTTTTTTTAAGAGACAGAGTCTCACTTTATCGCCCTCAGTAGAGTGCCATGATGTCACAGGTCACAGCCACCTCCAGCTCCTGGGCTTAGGCGATTCTCTTGCCTCAGCCTCCTGAGTAGCTGGGACTATAGGCATCCACCATGACGCCCGGCTGTTTTTTGTTACAGTTTGGCCAGGGCCGGCGCCAGCACCCTACCCACTGAGCCACACGCGCTGCCCCCCAGTTTCTTGCTGATAGCTTCATTTGTTATGTTGTGATCGACTTAGATCATTTTCCCAGTCATCAACATTTTGGCAACAAATGTACGCCCACCTCCTCAAACGATCAAACTCCTTGCCTCAGATGATCTTTTCAAAGTGCTAGGATTAAACTCCATGTCTTGGGCAGCACCTGTGGCTCAGTGAGTAGGGCACCCGCCCCATGTACCGAGGGTGGCAGGTTCAAACCCAGCTCCCACCAAACTGCAACAAAAAATAGCTGAGCTTTGTGGCGGGGGCCTATAGTCCCAGCTACTCAGGAGACTGAGGCAAGAGAATCACCTAAGCCCAGGAACTAGAGGTTGCCATGAGCTGTGACGCCATGGCACTTTACCAAAGGCAACAAAATGAGACTCTATCTCTTAAAAAAAAAAATAAGAAACTCCATGTCTTCATCTTGTTTGCAAGAATATGCTTTTCCAGCTCTGCTGCTTTCCACCACATCAGCTTTGTGCCCTTATGTCCTTTCTCTCAGCTTTAGTTTACAGGGAAGGCAATTCTTGCCTTTGCTCTGTATGACCTTTTTCAGTTGTCAGAGTCTGCCACCATCAAGCTCCTTGGTGTGCCAATTTCTAATGCCTGGGAGAGACAATAAGTAGGTACAGCTGGGTTGGGTGCTATGTGAAAACCTGTGCTTCCAGGAGGGCTGGTAGTGAAAGTAGGTCCTTGTGAGATAAGACTGCTCCTTCCAGGACTGCCTGGGGACACTTTCTCTTAAGTAGGGAAGCACCCATTGGCACAGCTGTGACCCCTGAACTGGCTTGTTTGTCTTTATTTTAGATCATTGTGTTCATGATTTGCTTTTCTCTCTTTTGGAGATTTTAGCCCGGAGGGAGGGATTCAGTACTGACATTTAAGTTGCCAATTTTTTTTTCACTTACATGAAGGATTAAGATTCCATTTATAAATTTATTGGGTTAATGATTCCATTGTTCTAGATTTATGATTTTTTAAAAAAAATTGGAACAAAAGACAACTAAGAGAGAGCCCAGTGAAATTGCCCCCAGAAATCCCCATTCAGAAGATTGGTCACACTTTACCAGTATTCTAACCAGGTCTAAATCTCCCTAATAGCAGGCCAGGCATGCTGCTCTTGTCTATAATCCCAGCGCTCTCGCCTGAGCTCACAAGTTCAAGATCAGCCTGAGCTAGAGTGAGACCCTGTTTCTAAGAATAGCCAGGAGTTGTGGTGGGTGCTTGTAGGTCCAGCTACTCGGGAATCTGAGGCAAGAGAATTGCTTCAGCCCAGGAGTTTGAGGTTGCTGTAAAGGCCATGGCACTCTACTGGGGGCAACAAAGTGAGACTCAGTCTCCAAAAAGAAAAAAAAAATGGCTTGGCAACTGTAGTACAGTGGTTATGGCACCAGCCACATACACTGAGACTGGCGGGTTCAAACCTGGCCATGAAAACTGCAACAAAAAAAGCCGGGTGTTGTGGCAGGTGCCTATAGTTCCGGTTACTTGAGAGGCTGAGACAAGAGAATCCCTTGAGCCCAGGAGTTTGAGGTTGCTATGAGCTGTGATGCCACAGCACTCTACTGAGGGCAACATAATGAAACTTTGTCTCAAAAATAAATAATAAGTAAATCCACCTAATAGCATCAAGTTCAAAAATCATCATCTTATTTACAATAATGGGATTTAGAGACATTGCCTATAAAAGCAGTTGTTTTCCCAAAATAGTGATATCCTGTATCTGTGGCTTTTTATTGTGTCAGATATCCCATTTAAAAACAGGGAGCTTATGTAGTTTGCTTTATTTATTTATTTTTTTTAATTAAATCATAGCTGTACATTAATGCAGTCATGGGGTGCTTGATTTACTCTTAATGAACCTACATGGATCATATTCTTTTCCATTTGCTTTGAGATTTCTCTGAAGAGTAACATCTCCCTTACTGCTCTATAGTTTCCTGCATCCCCCCCCCCCCTTTTTTTTTTTTTTTTCAAACCCCCTTATATTTTTTTTTTTTTTTTTTTTTTTTTTTTTTTGGGCGGAGCTGGGTTTGAACCTGCCACCTCTGGCATATGAGGCCAGTGCCCTACTCTTTTGAGCTACAGGCGCTGCCCCATGACAGCATTTTTTTTTTTTTTTTGAGACAGAGCCTCAAGCGGTTGCCCTAGGTAGGGGGCTGTGGCATCACGGCTCACAGCAACCTCCAACTCCTGGGCTCAAGTGATTCTATTGCCTCCACCTCCCAAGTAGCTGGGACTAGAAGCACCCACCACAACGCCCAACTGTTTTTTGGTTGCAGCTGTCATTGTTGTTTGGCGGGCCCGGGTTGAATTCGAACCCGCCAGCTCAGGTGTATGTGGCTGGCGCCTAAGCCACTTGAGCCACAGGTGCCGAACCCATGACAACGTTTTCAATCTCCATTATTTTAGTGCCATTCTCGGTTGGATTCCTGAAAGGCCTACACAAAGAATATGACAGAGCAGGGCCCTGTAATTAAGCATGTTATCAATTTGTTATTCTTTCCTGATATGCATATTATCTGGGCCCGAAGACTTCAACTAATTTAAAGCAATTAGCAAGCAAGCAACCTGTATGCCAGGTAGCATTTCCTCATATATTGTCTCATTTACTATAATATTTCTTTACTCATCTTAGGCTTCAACTTTCTCTATTTATTTCTTTTAATCCTATCATTTTAGGGATTGTTTAGGGAAAGGTAGAATCATAGGAACTAAGTGGAACTAAGGAACTATTTACTGTCATCTGTTGATATTTTATCAGTGTCCTTCCCTAGCAGTTGACCTGTCTTATTCCATGTACCCATTTGTTTCAAGAGTTCATTTTCCTGACACCATTTGTTAAAGATTTAAGTCATTCTTTCTGGCTGGGTGCAGTGGCTCACAACTGTGATCCTAGTATTCTGGGAGGCTGAGGCAGGTAGATTGCTTGAGCTCAGGAGTTTGAGACTAGCCTGAGCATGAGTGAGACCCCATCTCTACTAAAAATAAGAAAACTAGCCAGGCATTGTGTATAGTGTCTATAGTCCCAGCTACTCAGGAGGCTGAGGCAAGAGGATCAGTTGAGCCCAAGAGTCTGAGGTTGCTGTGAGCTGTGACATCACAACACACTAGGCATCATTTTTCCCCTGTTTTTTGTATCTGCTTTTTCTTCTTTATGTGTCTGATCACACTCTTTAAAGCGATGGTGGTTTGGGCAGTGGCAGTGGCTCAGTGTGTAGGGCACTAGCCGCATATAACAAAGGTGGCAGGTTCAAACCTGGCCCTGGCCAAACTGCAACAAAAAATAGCCAGGTGTTGTGGTGGGCGCCTGTAGTCCCAGCTACTCGGGAAATTGGGGCAAGAGAATCACCTAAGCCCAAGAGTTAGAAGTTGCTGTGAGCTGTGGGACACCACGATACTCCACCAAGGACAATAAAGTGAGACTCTATCTCTACAAAAAAATAAAAATAAAAATAAAGCTATGGTGGTTTTTGTAGGTGTCTTCATCTTTTCTTTTTTTTTGAGATAGAGTCTTACTTTGTCACCCTCAGTAGAGTGCTCTGGCATCATAGCTCACAGCAATCTCTAACTCTTGGGTTCAAGCGATTCTCTTGTCTCAGCCTCCCTGGTAGCTGGGACTACAGGTGCATACCACAACACCTGGCTATTTTTTAGAGATGGGGTTTTGCACTTGCTCAGGCTGGTCTTGAACCTGTGAGCTCAGGCAGTCCACCCACCTCAGCCTCCCAAAGTGCTGGGATACAGGCATGAGCTACCGAGCTCAGCTACTATCTTTTCATCTTCATGAAATAATCTGTTACTGAACTATCAGAAGTTTTATTTTAATGTCTCTATTGGCTTTTTTTTTTTTTTTTGAGATAGAGTCTCACTTTGTTGCCTAGGCTAAAGTCCCCTGCTTTCAACCTCAGTCACAGTAACCTTAAACTCCTGGGTTCAAGGAATCCTCCTGCCTCAGTCTCCCAAGTAGTTGGGACTACAGGCACCTGCCAGAATGCCTAGCCAATTTTTCTATTTTTAGTAGAGACGGGGTCTTACTCAGACTGGTCTTAAACTTCTGATCTCATGAGATCCTATTGACCTCCTAAGAGTGCTAAGATTACAGGCATAGGCTCGGCTCCTGTGGCTCAAGCAGCTAAGGCGCCAGCCACTTACACCTGAGCTGGCGGGTTCGAATCCAGCCCAGGCCCGCCAAACAGCAATGACGGCTGCAACCAAAAAATAGCCAGGCATTGTGGTGGTCGCCTATAATCCCAGCTACTTGGGAGGCAGAGGCAGGAGACTTGCTTGAGCCCAGGAGTTGGAGATTGCTGTGAGCTGTGATGCCATAGTGCTCTATCCAGGGTGACTGCTTGAGTCTCTGTCTCAAAATAAATAAATAAATAAATAAAGATTATAGGCGTGTGGCTCCGTGCCTGCAGCACAGTGGTTAAGGCACCAGCCACATACACTGAGGCTGTACCTGGGCCAGCTAAACAACAATGACACCTGCAACAGAAAATGGCCAAGCATTGTGGTGGGTGCCTGTAGTCTCAGCTACTTCAGAGCCTGAGGCAAGAGAATCACTTAAGCCCAAGCGTTTGAGGTTGCTGTGAGCTTTGACACTACAGTACTCTAACCAGGGGGAGAGCTTGAGACTCTGTCTAAAAAAAAAAAATTACAGTGATGAGCTACCGTGCCCAGCCTTTCATTGTCTGTTGAACAGTATGAAATTTTACCTTTTTCCCCCACAGAAATTTTTTAAATATACAAATTAGATTTTAAGTAACATATTTGACAGTATGTAGTGTTCCTTTTTTCCTCTATTGTGGACAATAAGACAGTAAAGTCACTTCCTTAATTTTCATAGGTTGTTCCACATTAACTTCATTCAAGAGTATCAATTCTTGACTGGGCACAGTGGTTCATGCCTGTAATCCTAGGACTGTGGGAGGCCAAGGCAGGTGGATTGCTTGAGCTCATGAGTTCGAGATCAGCCTGAACAAGATACCTCATCTCTAAAAATAGCCAGGCATTGTGGTGGTTGCCTGTAGTCCCAGCTACTTGAGGCTGAGGCAAGAGAATCACTTGAACCCAAGAGTTTGAGGTTGCTGTGAGCTGTGATGCCACAGCACTCTACTGAGGGTGACAAAGTGAGACTTTTATCTCAAAAAAAAAAAAATTCTTTAAGAGGTTTTTGGGTTTTTTTGGCCCCCTTTTTTTTTTTTTTTTTTTTTTTTTTTTGAGACAGAGTCTCACTATGTCGCCATGGCATCACAGCTCACAGCAACTTTAACTCTTGGGTTTAAGCAATTCTCTTGCCTCCACCTCCCGAATAGCTGGGACTATTAGCACCAGCTATAGCACCCAGCTATTTTTTGGTTGCAGCCGTCATTGTTGTTTGGCGGGTCCGGGCTGGGGATTTGAACCCGCCACCTTAGGTGTACGTGGCTGGCGCCTTAGCCGGTTGAGCTATAGGCGCCGAGCCGATCCCACTTTTCTTTAACAACAAAGCAAGATCATGATAAATTTTGCAGTGGAAGGAGTATTGTCTACAGGTGGCCAAGAATCAAAATTCCATTGTAGGGCAAGCAGTAATCTCAAATACAGAGTCATCTGGGGGATCCTATGTGGGAGGGGTTCACACTGGCTACGTAGTGACTGCCCAGTCAGTCCTGATTGCTGCTCATTTCTCTTCCTGCAGTGTGGGCCAAGTTGAAATTGCAGAAGGCCTCAGAGCGATGGCAGCCTGACACTGAGGTAGGTGTTAATGTGGACAATATCAGGAATGATATCAAGCGGTAGCTCTCTCACCATGTACAAAGGAAGTGAAAGATGGTCCCTGATTTACTATAGTAGGGAGTATAACGTGACAGTATCTGTACATTAACTCTTTTTTTTTTTTTGAGACAGAGTCTCACTATGTCGCCATGGCATCACAGCTCACAGCAACTTTAACTCTTGGGTTTAAGCAATTCTCTTGCCTCCACCTCCCGAATAGCTGGGACTATTAGCACCAGCTATAGCACCCAGCTATTTTTTGGTTGCCACTGTCATTTAGCAGGCCCAGGCCAGGCTCGAACCCATCAGCCTCGGTGTATGTGGCCAGTGCCCTATTTACTGAGCTACAGACTCTGAGCCTATAAATCAACTATTGATTATTTATATATATGTAAATATATATATTTTCTTTCTCTCTATACATATATATATTTTTTTTGAGACAGAGTCTACCGTTGGTAGAGTGCTGTGGCATCACAGCTTACAGCAACCTCCAACTCTTGGGCTAAAGCAATTCTCTTGCCTCAGCCTCCCAAGTAGCAGGGATTACAGGCACCTGCCACAACGTCCAGCTATTTTTTGTTGCGATGGTCATCGTTTAGCTGGCCCAGGCCGGGTTCAAACCTACCACTCTCAGTGTATGTGACTGGCACCATAACCACTGTGCTACGGGTCCCAAGCCTAACTCTTGATTATAAACCTAACTTAATTGTTATTTGTCAGACTTTATATAATTTTTCTTTTTTTTGAGACAGTCTCACTGTGTCACCCTTAGTATAGTACCGTGGTGTCACAGCTCACAGGAACCTCAAACTCGTAGGCTTGAGCAATTCTTTTGCCTCAGCCTCCCGAGTAGCTGGGACTACAGGCACCCACCATGACCCCCGGCTATTTTTTGGTTGTAGTTGTCATTGTCGTTTAGCCGGCCCAGGCCAGGCTCAAACCCTCCAGCTTCAGTGTATGTGGCTGGCACCCTAACCACTGAGCTATGAGCACCAAGCCTATCATTTTTCTTTTTTAATATGGAATGCATCGTAGATTTGTGTCATCCTTCTTTGGGGCTATGCTAATCTTCTCTATTCTAATTTTGGTATATGTGCTGCTGAAGTGAGTACTGATAGACTTTAACCTGTGTCTCAGGCAGGTTGTATTTTCCCTTTGAAATGCTAAAGTGACAAGCAGGAGTCCCCAGGCTCTTGTCCTGACATGGGGATTTACAGACTAAAAAGTTGAGAATCCATATTGTGTATCAGATTTCCCTGGAGGAGAATGTCAGAGATGATCCCCTCATACAAGGTGTTCTTGCTGGTTCTGAGATAGTCATCTCAACTAGCAGGTTTCAGAGACGAGGAGTGACATGTTTATAAGGTATGGTAGCAGTTCACCGCACGTCCCACCGTGACTGGCAGTAGATTCCCTTTCTTCTAGGTCAGTAATTTATATATCTAGCAGCAAAACCCTTTTCCAGCTGCAGTACAACACTTTGATACGCATTTAAAATTCTATAAAGCAGAACTGCTCTAGAAGTGGGAAAGATCAGCTTTCCTTTTAACTCTTGCTAAAACCTGAGGTTCTTCAGAACCATTTGAAAACTGATGTTTTAGGCCACCGTTTCACAGCCAGGGTTCCTCTTCTTAAATACAGAAAGCGATTTGAACTATTTCCTTACATACCCAAAGGATAGGTCATGACTGGTACCATTCTGAAAATGTAGGAGAGAAGTAAATTCATTACAGACAATGGCTGCCTTAGGATCAATAGGCCTTAGTTCTTTTGTGGAATTTCATTTGAGAAAGGCTATCTTAGATGAATGCCAATCTCAGAATACCAAGGTATGCCATGGAATCAGGCCAGGGTGAGCTCAGGTATTCAGAGATTGGTTCCAAACATTTCTCCCAGGGGGCGTAGCTAACAAAGTATACCCCTTTCTTTTTAGGAAGAATATGAAGACTCCAGTGGGAATGTTGTGAATAAGAAGACATATGAGGATCTGAAAAGACAAGGACTGCTCTAGTGTTCAGGCTGTAGCTCAGCTTGGCGGCTTGCCCAGGCTCCTCTGAGATCTTTTTCTATCTCTTCCACCCAAATGCTCAAAGACCCTTTACGATGTAGTATTATGGTCTAGTATGCATCTTGTAGAAACAAGGCATGCTAACAGATTGTGGGATTGAGATGTGTTTTATCTCTGTTTTATATTAAAAAGAATTCTTCTGGAAAATAAAACCCTGGTTTTGAATGTATATTGTTCTGCAGGCCCAGGGTAATGGACTTTCAGGTCTTAATGCCTCCCTGTCTCTTTCTCATCAACTTTAGAAGCAGGTGAGATTTAATGAGCACCTGTTATGCTACATAAGTTACGTTAGGTAAATCTGACCTGACCTCTTTTCCTGTCCTCACAGCAGCCACTTCCCCAGGTAAGCATCACCCCAGGATGAGCCCTACCCTTAGTTGAGTCAGCCATTGATACACATTCCAGGGAAAGATGGGGAAGATGGACTAAGGCTGCTCCTAAGCGGTAAGTGTGGGGCCATGGTTTGCTTTTTCTATTTGTATAAAGAAGGGAATTGGGCAGTTTGGGGATATTCCTGCTGCCCTGCCCCATCTCTCTGCCTCAGCAGCCCAGCTCACAGTGGAACTAGGAGCAGGAGGGACTCCACCCACTTGCTAGTTCAGAATGAGTCTTTGGTGAGCCTGTCTACCTGTTCCTTTTACAACATCCCTGTTTGACCAGAAGTGGATCATAATCATGTGTTGTCCAAGCCTCAGTATCTAAGATCTTGGGTAGAGTGGAGCAGCTACCTCAGGATCCAAATATGGTGTCCCAAGTGGAACTAGGGAAGCCAAGGAGGCATTAATCTGCCCATAAACACAATCATCTATCTGAAAGCCAGGGCCTGCTCCAGGACAGGACTCCCTAGAGGTCCCCTTTGCTCACTCAGTACTCAATCCTTCCTTCAGTTTGTTTGTAATGTCTTTTTAAAAATCCCAAATCTGGGTTGGCACCTGTGGCTCAGTGAGTAGGGCGCCGGCCCCATATACCAAAGGTGGCAGGTTCAAATCCGGCCCTGCTGAACTGCAGCAAAAAAATACCTGGGCGTTATAAAGGGCACCTGAGTCCTAGCTACTTGGGAGGCTGAGGCAGGAGAATCGCCTAAGCCCAGGAGTTGGAGGTTGCTGTGAGCTGTGTGACACCATGGCACTCTACCAAGGGCAATAAAAGTTAGACTCTGTCTCTACAAAATAAAATAAAATAAAAATCCCAACTCTGGAACAGGCCGTCTGCCTCACTCTTGTCTGTTCACCTTGTCATTTCCATGGCAGCAAGCCTTCACCACCCCACCCCTGTGGCACTTCTCTCAGTTGGTATTTTCCTTCCTGATTCAACCCTGGGCAACTCTTCATATGTTCATTGCTTAAAACCCTAGTTGGACAATCCCTCCAGGGCCTGAGCTTCTGAAGCAGAGTGAGTGGATTAATTAAATGTAATTGAGCCATTGCCATTGGGAAGAGAGCCTTGGAAATGGTGAATGTGGGGAAGAAACATCCTTCTAGCCTTCCTGTTGGAATAGTAGACACATTGGGGAGACCAGGAAGTGTACCTGCTGCTTTCCAGCAGTTACATTCCTCAGACACCTCTTGAGGAGTGGATGCTTGAGACTCCAGGGTTAGTGGGCTGTCCCTCTGCAGTGCAAAGGGGAGATGGGACTAGGACCTGAGGGGTTCTGCCATCACCCTAGCCCAGTCATCCTGTGGACTGTGCTAGAACAGCCTTGGAGGGACCCTGGCTTTTCTGACAGGGACTTACCTGTTGCACCAAAGTCTTATTCATCTGTTACGTTCATTCATTCAGATATTTTTAGCACCTTCTCTGTGACAGGCACAGCTAAATTTACAAACCTTGAGAATTAAGTGGTGGTGAGATGGTGGGAGCAGAAGCTAGAAGAAAGGAGGCTCAGCAGCCTTTGTGAGCAGATGGGAAGAGCTGTATCACCAATTCTGCCCCCTCCGAGAGACACAGGCAAACTCACATCAGAAGTGGTTCTCAGAAAAAAAAAAAGAAGTGGTTCTCAGAGGTGACTTTCTGAAGTCCGGACTTCGTGGAGCTTCTAGAGGAAGAACAGAGTTTCAGTTGAGCTTCCTCATCAGGCTTGGGAAGGAGTGCAAAGTCCTTTTCTCTTGGTTCAGGGTTTTCCAACCTATAAACTGCATACAGATTATTTGAGGACTGTTTTACTAATCTGTCATGTCAGATGGGTATCACCAAAAATATGCATGGAATTTTCTTTTGCTAATCAGCTTTCATTAGTGTGTGTGTATTTATGTATGGCCTAAGACAACTTTTATTTTTCTAAGGTGCAGCATGAAAGTAAAAAGGTTGGATACTCTGGTTAGATGAGTTTTAATTTTTATTTTTTTGAGACAGTCTTAGTATGTCACCCTCAGTAGAGTGCTATGGCGTCACAGCTCACAGCAACCTCAAACTCTTGGGCTTATGCAATTCTCTTGCCTCAGCCTCCAAATAGCTGGGACTACAGGCGCCCACCACCACACCTTGCTATTTTTTGGTTGCAGTTGTCATTGTTGTTTAGCAGGCCTGGGCTGGGCTCGGCTTGAACCCACCAGCCTTGGTGCACATGGCTGATATCCTACTCACTGAGCTACAGGCACTGAGCCAGTTTTTAATCTTTAGGATCATGGATTTCTTTGGAAATAAAAAGAATTAACAGGGTTTTTCACTAGAAAAATGGACATGCACAAACTTTTTTTTTTTTAGAGATAGGGTCTTGCCCTGTCATTGAGGCTAGAGTGCAGTGGTGTGATAGAGCTCATTGCAACTTTCCCTAGGATCAAGCAGTCCTCCTGCCTCAGCCTCCTGAGTAGCTAGGACTATAGGTGCTCACCACCAGACTTGGGTAATTAAAAAAAAATTGTTTTGGAGACAGATCTCATGATGTCACCCTTGGTAGAGTGCCATGGTGTCACAACTCACAGCAACCTCCAACTCTTGGGCTTAAGCAATTATTTTGCCTCAGCCTCCCAAGTAGCTGGGACTACAGGACCTCCTGGCTGGGAACCCAAGACTGGTGCTGCCAAACCCAGAGGCTGATCCTGGGATGAGCCCTTCCAGGAGCAGGAGTTTCCTTACTCCTCTCAGAGGAGAGCAAATACATCTGTGTGGCCTTCAATGGTTATTCCTTTCCTCTCCACTTACTTTCTCTCTGGGATCAGCTTGTGCTGGAAGACTCAGGGAAGAGAATACCCCCAGGGTTCTGAGGAAGCCCATCACCCCCTACTCCTCACCCCCAGGCACCTTCCTGTGTCAGAGGCAAATGATGCCACACCAGAGGCACCGGATATCTATTTCCTGTCACTGCACCTGGTCCAGCTCTGCCTCCCTCTGATAGCACCCCCAGGATGCTGCTGTTGCCATGCCAACATCAGTCATTCTCAGAGGGGCTGTTCTAAACTAAGATACAGGCCCCTTTGTGCATGCCTCAATGTCACTCTGAAAGTATGACTTGGCTCGGCGCCTATAGCTCAACTGGCTAAGGTGCCAGCCATGTACACCTAGGGTGGCGGGTTCAAATCCCCCCCCCGGACCCGGCAAACAACAATGATGGCTGCAACCAAAAAATAGCCGGGCATTGTGGCAGGCGCCTGTGGTCCCAGCTACTTGGGAGGCGGAGGCAGGAGACTCGCTTGAGCCCAGGAGTTGGAGGTTGCTGTGAGCTGTAATGCCACGGCACTCTGCCCAGGAGGACAGCTTGAGGCTCTGTCTCAAAAAAAAAAAAGAAAGTATGACTTATGGGAAGCAAAAGCCAAGCCCCCTGGCATGGCACCCGTGGCTCAGTGGTTAGGGTGCTGGCCACACACACTGAGGTAGGCGGGTTTGAACCCAGCCTGGGCCTGCTAAAACAACAATGACAACTGCAACGACAAAAATAGCTGAGTGTTGTGGTGGGCGCCTATAGTCCCAGCTACTTGGAAGGCTGAGGCAAGAGAATTGCTTGAGCCCAGGAGTTTGAAGCTGTGAGCTAAACACCGCGGCACTCTACCCAAGGTGACAAAGTGAGACAGCCCCTAGGCCCCCTTATTCCCTTTTGGTTGACCTCCCCTGCTGCCCAGCCTCAATTTGTTCATAGTGCAATAATGGCAATCAGTGTTGCCATTAATGGCTCTGCAGAGGTGTCACAGCACTTTCTTAGGCAGCCTTGCTCTGCTCCCAAGCCTAGGCCACCTGACGGTCCCTTGGATAAGCTGCAGCTTTCAAACCATGTGTAAATACACCACAGCTTCCACTGTCACAGAGGTGTTTCACCAGGAGGCAAAGTCCTGCCACCAGAGTGCGTGTGGCCCAGGGAACACCACTGTGAGGTGTGAGGCTGGGGTAGGGGTGTGGGTGATCCACCAGAGGGGGCTCTCAGGAATATTGAGGTGCTGGGGAAGAGATAGTGCTGGGCAGAGTGGAGATACAGCCCAAGACTGGCCACTCCCCCATCCTCCTGGACATGCCTGGCTTTCCACCAGCTGATTCCAGCTGATTCCCTTCTTCTCAGTACTTCCTACTATGAGCCTGGTGCAGCCTCGGTTGGGAGATGGTGGTGAAACAATTCCCAGCCCTCATCTGTCCAACAACTCTGGCCTGCCCTAGGTCCAGGCAGGCTGTAGTAAGTACTATAGTGGAGGCTACTCTGCCTAGTGCTCAGCAGGTGGCCCTGGATGCTAAGCCCTGTCCCTCCAACCTGCTGCTCTGAGCCCTAGCTCCTTGCCCCCAAATCCAACTCTCATTCCCACTGACTCATAATCTCAGAGCCCTCCTGTCCACAAGCCTCCAGCTCTGAGGCCACCATATGATAGGCCCTCGAATCTCAGCTCAGTTTTCACCAACCCCCCAACCTCTGTGAACACACCCTAATGTGACTGACCTAGCTTTGGGGTCTCCCTCCCTCATCCATTCCCCAGGTCTGAGCTTTTTCCCTTTGGTGCCCCACCTCGTCCCCCTCCTAATGTCCTACCTTTCCCCAGCCCAGCCTCCATCCCCACCCCAAGCTCCAAGGAGGCCTGAAGCTACTACCTGTGTTCGTCCCACGGTCCCACGAGGCAGTCAAGGAAGGTGTCAGGTTATAAGCTGCCCACACACAAGAAGACCTCCCCTGGAGCAGAGTGGGCATCAGGGCTCTTCAGAGGTGTCACAGCACTTTCCCAGGCAGCCCTGCTCTGTTTCCAGGCCTAGGCCACCTGATGGTCCCAGAGGACAAGCTGTTTCCCTCTCTACCCCTGCACCCAACACCTCGCCTACATGAGCAGTGTGTCTCAGTCACACCTGCCTGCTCTGGGAAGAGGCTGGAGTGAAGAGAGTGTGATGTCCGGGCCAGTGACACGGGCATAGTGGGGCCCAGCCTTGCCTCTGTCTAGCTCTCACCCCTTGTTCAGTCTGCACAGAGCTCCCACTCCTCAAACCTCCTCCTGCTTTCTCCCAGGAGAAAATCTACCACCTTCTTCTGCCAAGGTGTCAACTGCTGCAGGGGGGAGGAAGCTGTGGCCTTGGGCCCTGAGGGCTTAGAGATATCTGTGAGGTTAGTTTTGGGGTGCTCCAGGGATTGGGGTGCTATAACACTTTCTCCTCCCACCAAGTGGGGTAGCTAGAAGCCAAGCAACCTGGGGTCTAGCAAGCTTGACCCTCTCAGCTCTGTATGATGCCAAAATCCAAGGCATTAGCTGGAATTTCCCAAGTTTCCATAATGTGCCCCCTGGTTTTGGACCACTCTGTATGTTTAATGGGGACTGACTGACCTTGTAGAGAAGAAGGTTTGGGTCCACAGAGGTTCAGCTCAGCCATGACCCACTCAACACTTTCTGCCTCTGTGAGTTGGAGAGAAGTGCAAAGGAAGGGATGCATGGTTCCATCTTTTGCAGCTGAAACCATCCAGCTCAAGCTACACAAAGGGCTCAGCCAGGCCTGCAAGGCAGGGACTCCCAGGTGTCATGGGACTTGCTCAGCTCTGCTACCAGGAGCATTGTCAAGCCTTGAACTCAGGCGCCTGCCTCACCAGGGGCCACCAGGAGCCCCCTACACTGGGTCCTGGCTGCAGCCACACTGCTGCTCCTCTGCTCTGCCCTCCTTCTGTTCCTGCTTCCCAAGCTGGGCCCAGCAGCATCAGGGGACAGAGGCCAAGAAGACTCTATAGGCCCTGCAAGCCCCGAGATCCACACCCAGCTCTGATTCTGGTAGTCGTATCTTTGGTACCAGTCCACAGTCCCGGACTTGAGGGGCCTCACTTCTCCCCTCCTAGGACCTAGTCCAGGACACAGACCCTCCTCGGAGGGCAGCAAACCTAGGGAGAGGCTGGGGTTTATTTGGAAAGGTAAAAAACATCTTGCTAGGCCCTGGTCCCAGTGGGAGGACCTCAAAATCCTGCAGAGACAGTGTCATCTGCAAAATGCACTCAATCCCATCCACTTTTCCTGACCCTTCCTCCCCAGCCTTTGATGCTGAAAGCAGAACTAGAAACCCCTACTTTTCTGCAGTGACCTCTGTTTCCTCCATCTCTAAGGCTCTGAATCTCATCCTCCACATGACTTTCAAACTGAATTCAAATAAACTTGAGCTCTGTTAGTACTCAGGATGTTCCAGTAGAGGAGAAGATTGGGAAGAAGGTGGTATGTTGCTGGGAGGGGGTCTACAAATGCAAAGTTGAACTGGTCAGTGGGCCGGTTACCTTCTTAGAGAAAGAGGAAGGGAGACAAGTTGGGGATCACAGCAGTCACTCCTTCCCAGTACTAGCTTGTTCCTTCAGTTTGGGTCAAAGCTTGAGAGAAGGTATATTCATGAAAATAATTCATTAATTCACTAACTCAATAAATGTGTTCTGAGAGCCAATTGTGTGCCAGAAACTCCTGGGGTCATAAGAAAAGGCATAGCCCTGTCCTTGGGGAGCTCACACCCCGTGAAATGGCCAGCAGGCTGGGAGAGGACCACCCTAGAATCCCTTATCTGAGCTGGCCCTTTCATTCATCCTTAACGGCCTCCTCATCTTACATGGGGAAATTGAGGCCTCAGGGAGAAGGGTCTTGGTCCACTTTCAGGCTGTTTTAAGAGCTGGGGCCTTTTTGTATTCATAGAGGCCTGCACCACGGTCTGGTGACAGTCATCATAGTGCCACACATGAAACTGTGCACACCCAGGACCTTCACACAGCCTGTGCGGCAGGCAGGGCTGGGTGGGCTGAGGAAGGACTCAGGGCAGTGTGTGGCTGTGTAAATGGCCCAGGAGTTGGAGTCAACCTCCAGCTGTGCCATTTTCTAGCTGGAGGAACTTTGTCAAATAGCTTACCCTCTCTGAACCTGTTTCTCTGCCTGGAAACTGGAGGTAATTGTTGTTCACCATCGTCTTCCATCTTCCCCCAACCTTTAACCTAGACAGCATAGTTATTTGGGAGGGAAGAGTTTCAGTAGAGCAGTCGCTCCTAGGAGTGAGACTAGCTGAGAATGGAATTAAGGAGAAAATAAAAATGCATTCTTTTCTTCCCTTAACATAAACGTGACCATCTTACTTCCAGGCCCTGGATGGGGAGCTCTGGCCCCATGAGTCAGAGGGCCAGAGATGGCTTAGGGCACTTACTAGAAAACCTTTCCAGAATAGGGAGTTCAACGTACCCCAGGACCTAAGGAGTTAATGGGGACGAGGGGACTCCCTCTTGATCAGCTTAGGCATGCTGGGACTTGCAGGCTGACCATCCTGGCGCAGGGACCGCTGGGAAATGTAGTCACTGGGCTGTCCCGGCTCAATGTCCCGCGCACCCAAGGAGCAGTGACAGCTCAGGAGGTAGGCGTCAATGGCCAGGGGTCTGGGAGCCGGTTCAAAGCAGCAAAGCTGGGGTTGGGCAGGAGGGAGTGGGCAAGCCCAGGACTGGGACCCCTGTCCTGTCCTGTCTCTGTCAGACCAGACACCCCCCCCTGCAGCCCCCCCTATGGCTGATGCAACGGGCCTGCTGGGCAGAGTGAGGGGCAAAGGGGATGCTTTTCCTGTCTCCCAGGAAAGAGGAACAGGCCCGAGTCTCTTCTCCAGGATGAGGCATTCCCTTCCTAAGAGGAAAGGGATGTTCCCCTAACCCCACACAGACACACCACTGACACCTCCCGAAGAGGCACCAGCAGGACAAATATTGCTCGCCTCCCTCCCGAAAAGGAGGCAGAGCCCTGTCCCAGGAGCAGTGGGATTGGGTCCCCTTCTCCAATCACAGAACCAGGTACAACACTTCCAACAAGTAGACTGCACCCCACTTAAGAACAACCAGATGCTCCCCAGACAAAGGGCAGTAAAACAGAGTGTACATCCTATCGGGGCAAAGGGCCTGTCCCTAGAAACTTAAATGGCCTCTTCTTGGGAAGAGAAAGAGGCGGGCAAGGTCTTCCCTCTACTTTCCCCTCTCCTTCCTATGCCCCAGCTCTCTGAGGCATGGGTAACTTGGGTGACCAAAGGGGGCTCCCATCTGCTCTCCCCAGGGTGTGTGCATTCTGCAGGGGCCAGCATGGACCAGTCTGTGGCGATCCAGGAGACCCTGGCTGAGAGGGAATATTGCATCATCATATCCTTCCCTGCACTGAGCTCCCAGCCCCCCACGACAAGAGGAAAGGAAGATGTCGCAGTGTCCCTTCTCTTTCCTTCCTCTCTCTGGGCACTCCTGGGAAAAGGAAACCAGTATTTACTAAGTACTGAGGCCTGGAGCTCCCACCCAAGTATAAAGCTGGGGATTATTGTCCCCATTTCATAGAGGAGGAAGGCTCAGAAAGGTGACGTGACTTGCCCAATGTCACACAGTGAATCTGGGGGGCAGGGGAAAAGAGGAGGGGGGAGACTGGGTTGAGAGAGGCCTGGCTCCGAGTTTGTTTTTACCTTGACTCTGAGCAGTACGCCGTGCAAGGTGTGCTGTGCGAGGGAGACAGCCGGCAGAGCCGCCTCCTGGGGCTTGTGCGCTACAGCCCGGAGCGTGGCGGCGGTCAAGAACATGCGTGAGTGAGGGGCCCAGCCCCTGCCTCTCCGGGTCATGGGATATTATTCTTCACTGCACCTTCCAGTGGGACTTCAATCATCTGTCCAAAGGCAGGGTCTGAGTCCTCTAGAGTAATTATCACAACGATAGCTAATATTTTTTGAACACTATATTCTAAGCCTCTCACATGTGTTAACTCATATAATCCTCAAAATTTGAGGAAGAAGCTTCTTGAGAAGAGAGTTTCACATACTAGTCAGAACTTTTTTTTTTTGACAGAGTCTCACTATGTCACCCTCGGTAGAGTGCTGTGATGTCACAGCTCACAGCAACCTCAAACGCCTGGACTTAAGCAATTCTCTTGCCTCAGCCTCTCAAGCAGCTGGGACTACAGGCACCTGCTACAACATCCAGCTACTTTTTTGTTGCAGTTGTCATTGTTGTTTTAGCTGGCCCAGGCTGGGTTCAAACCCACCACCCTTGGTGCATGTGGCTGGCCCTGTAACTACTGTGCTATGGGCACCAAGCCTATTAGTGAGATCTTGAGCCTTGTGGTTGGTTGGTCTGCTAGGGTTCAAATCCAGGCTTTGTTGCTAATGAGTCACTTGATCTTGAGCAAGTTGTTTTGCTCTTCTGTCCCTCAATTTGTCCAGAATAAAGATTAAAGTGAGTCAGGATGTGCAAAGTGTTTAAAACACCATGAGGCACATAGAACATTCCTGATAAATGTTGCCCAATAATACCTGCATACCACACAGAAGCCGAGACAGAAAATAATACTTGCCAAAGGTCTCATAGCTGGTGAGTGAACCTCAGGGTCTCTGAGCTAGCAGGGAGCAGGCCTTAGACATTTTCTAGCCCACTACCCTCATTTTACAGATGGAAAAACTGAGGTTCAAGGCAAGAAAGGGGTTGGCTCAGGTTGCACCATTCCTGTCATACACAGTGCTAAGCTGTACCATGGATAGATCAATGTGTATTTCACTAACGAAGCCAGGGGCTGGCTCCCCCAAATGAGAAAAGGTGAGCTTTGATGACCTCTCCCCAAAACTGCTGTCTCTGAAGGGCACCATGGGCAAGGAGTGTGCACAGCCAGGTCCCCCCAACACTGTGCGGGGAGCTCAGGAGGGAGTGCAAGAGCACCCAAGACCTCCAAGATGGGCCTGAGCAGGGGCCGTGGGCCTGTCCTCACCACCACTTCCTACCCTTAGCCTCTTTCTGTATACGCACCGGAGGATGGCCATTACTGGGGATGATGTCTCTCTGGACCAGATAGTGCCAATCTCACGGGACTTTACACTGGAAGAAGGTACCACAGTGGGCTGGGTGGTATGAATCCCTCTCCTCTGGGCCCTCCAGGTCATCTCTGCCCTTATTGGGGAGGACAGTGGGAGTAAGGGAGTAAGTGCTGGGGCTAGGGTGCTCAACTAACTGCTCAGGTCATTCTTGTTTCCTCTCCCTAGTGTCCCCAGATGGTGAACTCTACATCCTTGGTGAGTGGTCCTCTCAATCTGTGTCCTGCTCTGGGGCAGTGGGGTACAGGATCTTTAGTGAAAGGAACGGTGTGCAGTAAGAGCAGCCACTGATATCCTTCCTGTGGCAGGTAGAGCCCTGCCAGATTCAGCCCCTGCCCAGCTCTGTGGGCTCATCTCCCATCACTCTCTTCCATGCTGCTGTTTCACAGGCTGTTACCACAGGGCCCTTGCACGTGCTTTTCCCACCTCCAGAAAGCCTCACACTGCTTTTCTTTTCTTTTTTCTTTCTTTTTTTTGAGACAGAGTCTCACTATGTCACCCTCAGTAGAATAATGTGGCATCACAGCTCACAGCAACCTCCAACTCCTGGGCTTAGGCGATTCTCCTGCCTTAGCCTCCCGAGCAGCTGGGACCACAGGTGCCTGCCACAATGCCAGGTTATTTTTTTGTTGCAATTTGGCCGGGGCTAGGCTCAAACCCATCACCCTTGGCATATGGGGCCAGTGCCCTACCCACTGAGCCACAGGCGCCGCCCCTCACACTGCTTTTCACTTAGCCAACTCCCACTCATCCTTCAGGGCTTCCATTCATGCATGTCTCTTTCCAGAAAGCCTCCGTTAAACCCTTGAAATTGTTTGTATTTCACTGATACACATGCCTTTTCCTCATTCAGCCCTCTGTCACTCATAGTGATTTAATTATCCATATTGATCTATTTAATGTCTGTCTTCTTTGCTAGACGGTAATAATAATAATAGAAGCAAATATTTAATCAACAATTACCTTGGGGCAGTGCCTGTGGCTCAATGAGTAGAGTGCTGGCCCCATATGCCAGAGGTGGCGGGTTCAAACCCAGCCCCGGCCAAAAACTGCAAAAAAAAAAAAAAAAATTACCTTGTGCCAGGCACTCTGCTAAAAGCTTTATATACATTATGTCAGGCTTTTCTTGTAGCAATTCTATGAGATTATCATTTATTTTTTCCCTTCTCAACTCAGCTTTTCCCGACTCTGGGGAGAACTGGGAAGAGAAGTGAGATTATAGCATTGTTGTCACTCCCATTTTATGGACAAGGTAACTGAGGCCCAGAGAAATTAAATAATGTAGTTAAGGGGTGCAACTAGGATTCAAATTCAGAATCTAGACTCTAGACCCTAGAACTTTTTTTCTTTTTGTGATAGAATCTCACTCTGTTGCCCAAGTTAGACTGTCGTGGCTTCAGCCTAGCTTACAGCAACGTCAAACTCCTAGGTTCAAGCAATTTTCCTGGAGGGTGGGACTACAAGTGCCCCCTACAACACCGGGCTAATTTTTCTTTTTCTTTTTTGGCCAGGGCTGGGTTTGAACCCACCACCTCCGGCATATGGGGCTGGCACCCAATCCTTTTGAGCCACAGACGCCACCCTAATTTTTCTATTTTTAGTAGAGACAGTGTCTTGTTCTTGCTCAAGCTGATCTTGAACTCGTGAGCTCAAGCAGTCTACC